GAAACTGTGGAGAAGACACGTCACCGTGGAGAGCCGTTAACCAATATGCAAATTATCCTGCAGTACCACTGCTCTACCCATATGAGCAGCAAAAAACACGTTTTTAGACCAAGTATTACAGATTTGAACAAATACGCACAAAAACATCAAAATTAACACAGAAACAGTACTATATAACATTTTAGACACATTCTAGACAGTTTATCAGCTAAAAAAAGTTAATTATGGGGTAAGTTACTCTTTAAGTAAACATGAGTCCAATGCTGGTCGGGTAAACAAGACCTTGTACTGAGTCTAAAGGGACCAAACCATAACGAGTTAACTCTAAAGTCCACGATTCGAACCAAACAATGCATCAGATCAGATTGATGCAATGTAACGTTTTTGTTTTGTTTTTAAATGAACCAATCACTTAATTCTTAATTAGTTTCATGTTTGCATTTCCAAAATTGACACAGATCCACCTCTTTGCTCCAGCCAAGGCTTCATATTTGTTCCAAACACTGAAGACTTTGTCATAAAACATGAACATGATGCAGGATTTATGTCCTCTCTTCTAATAAGCAAATATAAGTATCATCATCCAATCTGGAAAGTCTTTCTTTCTGTTAAACTCATTCTTTTTGCTGCCACTTACAGCTATTGTAAATTTTTGACTTGTTTCCAACTTTAAAAACCCTATCCAGTGAGCTGTACTAATAATAGACAAAAAGCAGAAAGTATTTCCTAATCTTAAGCCAGTTGTTCTAAGGCTCCTTCCCTCAGGCAAACAGGCACTCATAATGACTTTTCCAATATGTTCCTGTAAATCTCCTTTAAATTATTACTGGTATTATTCTAGCAGTGAAATCAAAGAGACACAAAGAGCTCACTTCCTTCATTTTCCCGACACAAGTGGACGGAGAGAAAGCTTTCATAGGAAAATTTTTGGGACCGTCTGCATGGTGAGGTGTGTGTCCGATGAATACAATGTTTTGTATCAGTCCCACACGCTCATGAGGAAATGTGTCTACTTCAGGAGCTGATTTTCCCATTATGGAATGTATGATGTCAGCATGCAAAGGAAGGGCAAAACCCAACTGGAAACCACGAGACCAAGCCTAAAACTTATTGAGACGTCAACATGACGGGTAAGGTGGGGTTTTCCTCCAAACAGTTTTGTTCCAAATTCTGCTGATGTGGAAACTTTAAAAGTAAAAAAAAAAATGAGGATAAGAAAAAGTGATCCGGTTTGTTCTTCTGCTATCTGGTTACTTGGCAGATATTCAGGGAAAGGAAACTAAAAGTATAAATTTCACAATCCTCATTCAGATTAATCTGTCTCCTCTGCTGGTCCGTCATCTACAACCTGATCATTGGCAATAAGATGTCTGAGCAGAATTACCAGGAAGTCAACACTCGCTGAGGWAAGAGTCTGCACTTATTTCTTAACAAACACATTTTCTTTACAACAACCATTCTTAAAAAAAAGTTTGTCCACAACATGAAAACTGTGAGATCGCCAAGCTGTTATAGCGTCCAAGACCAAAAAAAAACCTGTGGAAATCTGTACTTTCAAACCCAAACAATGTAATTTTTAACATCTAAACCCGATCATTTATTTTAATTCCAGCCCTAACGGTGTATGTTCACGTTTAAACATAACAATTTGTGAGTGAGGCAGAAAAACAAGAATTAACAAACCTGGTGTAAAGCAGAAAAGTTAAATGGTTGTTAAAACATTGTGTAAGACAAGTCAGGAACCAGCTTTTTTTTTCTGTAACAGTGAATTAAGACATTTTCATCCTCTACTCAAACCAAATATGAGGCAATTTTGGGAAAATCAATAAGGGGAACATTTATGTTGTCCCATATTGTTATTATTTATCCTAAAGTAGGATGAAATGAGTGTTAAAATAAGGTGATTAATAATATTCATAACATAACTAGTGCAAATGTTTGCCACAAATTGTTAAAAATAAAAGTTTTAATAAGGCCACTGATCTTGTTTGGATTCTGAAAAAGCTAAGCTAATGCTCTAAGGGATTTGCTGCAGGTAAGATAATGACTACTGATAACAACACAAAGAACACCACTTCAAAATATCTGAACCTCTTTAATGATCTCCTATTATAACATTATTTTACACTGAAAAGCCAAACTCATTACTGATTTATTACACTATTAAGATCTTTTGCTTCCATCTTGTCTGTTCATGCAGCTGACATTTAACACACAGGGATGACAACATTCCTTACACTAACATGAATTTGGGGGTTCGTTTTAAATGTAAAAGTGACATCAGAGCTCTTGGTTACAGGGAAAAGAATGGAAACATCTTGGCTTACTTGTGGCCTCATTGTAAAAGAAAACAGAGCAAACCTTTTTTCCACAAGGCCCCGTTTCAGCGCTAACGCTGCGACATTCAAGAGAAGTCATAATGACTAGCTTAACGACACAAACCGGTCATTACTGAAATGTTAGCGTGGCCGTTCATGCAGAGGGTGGCACACCGACTGCACTGTAAAACTGCAAGGTGTTGAATTATTTTCTCATGACGAGATTGCCGTCCATTCATTACGCACATGCAGACACGGAGCGCCCTCATGTTCCTTTGATGCCTCTCTATTCACTCAGATCAAAGGGAGGAGGAGACCCCCGGAAACCTTCATGCATTAAGGGGCAAACAAGCTCCTCTGCAGACAGACTGAAGGGCTTCACCAGGTTAGTTATTTTAATGAACCCTTCTGTCACCTTTTTTAATACTTTCAACAWCCCACTCCATCAAAGGAAGCTCTTCATCAATGTTTCACTTTATTCATGTGAATTTAAAGGGATCCTCGATTAGTTGTAACATTAGATTTTATATGATAAACATATATTTTAACTGTAAAATAAAGACTGTAAAAATACTGTAGGATGTTCAGTTTTTATAATTTTTAAACTAAAAGTTTAAAAATATATATTACACGGACAGAGCCATTTTATTTACATGCAAAGCATTCTGGGTAAATGATGACGTGGCTAGGTCATCTGTGTGAGGCTGCTAGCGAGCTATATCCACCCTGAAGGTTAATCTTGGACAATATCTGATGATCGACTCTTTTAAATGAAACCAGAGAGCGTTGACAGAGAGGAGAAGGTAGAAATRACTCAGYCTGDAACTGAAAATATRGATGGAGGACAACAGAGCTGCTTCATGGAAGAAGAACCTCAGCTTAGCCTGTTAGCTTTAGTGTTAGCCCCGATGCTATCACCATATATTATCTCAGCGCTACAGATTCTCCTCTCCTCACTGAGGTCCTCCATCCACATGACAGAGAGGGGAACGCAAAAATGACTCAGCTGCAACTGAAAATATGGACGATGACCTCAGTTTAGCTTGTTTGTCGCGCTAGCGCTGAGCTAATACTTATAAGGCAATATAGCGTGAAGGCTAACAAGCTAAGCTGAGGTTCTTCTTCCATGAAGCAGCTCTGTTGTCCTCCATCCATATTTTCAGTTACAGGCTGAGTCATTTCTACCTTCTCCTCTCTGTCAACGCTCTCTGGTTTCATTTAAAAGAGTCGATCATCAGATATTGTCCAAGATTAACCTTCAGGGTGGATATAGCTCGCTAGCAGCCTCGCACCAAGGACCTATACACATCATCATTCACCCAGAATGCTTTGTGTGTAAATAAAATGGCTCTGTCCGTGTTAAAATATATTTAAAAAAATTTACAAAACTAAACATCCTGCAGTATTTTTACAGTCTTTATTTTACTGTTATAATAAATGTTTGTCAAATAAAGTCTAATGTTACAACTAATCRTGGATCCCTTTAAATTAACTTCTGAGGTTTTTGTTGGGCTTCTACACAACAAAATAAGCAAACTGGTTTTTTTCACTGTTTCTTTTATGTCGTTTCAACAAGTTCTTCAACAAGTTTGAAGACTCGCAAATGCAGAATCACAGAAGACACAGACTAAATGGTGAGTTTTCAGTCACTGAAGGCCGCAAAGCCTAAATTAACATCAAAGTTAGCTTCAGACTCTAAACCACAGACACAAATTTGCATTTACTTGAATCAAACTAATGTCATTTACTGGTTTCTTAAGTTCTCACATTGTGCTTGAGCAGGCACCGCCACTTCCCTTCACACGTCTGCGCCTCTCAGAGACCGACACCAAGTGAGACATTCCTCTGAGGTTAGCACAGGGGCTGCTCCTTCTCGCCCATGTTTGGGAAATTTTAAGAATTTTTATTGTTTCCCTCGCTCTTCGGACAACAGGGAGCCATGAAGAGGAATGCGCGGATCATTCAAGGTTCACTTGAGCCAAATGAAAAGAAACGGGCGCTTTCATTCACTTGCTTCGAAAGGTTATGAGTACAGGCGAATCAAGTAGGTTTTCATTTTGTTTAACTTTAAAACATGACAAGAAAACACTTTGATGTTTTTAAAGCTGTGAAAACAAAATAAAATTTAAAAAGAAAACAGTGAACAGTTAATCTCAGAGTATTGGCTTTTGTCCAAAAATCAGATGTTAAACAAATTTTGCATAAGGAGGTCCCAGCATTTTTTTTTTCAGCTGCACACCGACCCACACAGTTTTTTTATTAGTCTCCTAATCAGGATAATGAAGCTGTCAGAGTCTGCCTTCAGCATCCTCGTAAAAATAAAAACAAAAGCTTGTGACTGATTGTTCAGAGCACTTGTGTTTGTTTGTCTGCTAACAAAAGATGTCTGAACACTTTYCTCATCTGACGCCAGTAGCTGCAAGCCTTTCGAGAAGAAGAAAACGCACCAACATAAAGAGAGAACTAAAACCAAGTGTCTCATKTGGATGGGTGCAACTTTTACTTTTTGAGTCTGCTCCCTCCTCCTTCCATATCTCTTTGTTTCTCTCCCTCTACAGGTTATTTGGCACTTAGTGAAAAGTGCCAGGGCAGAAGGAGCTCGTCTTGGCACGGAGGGAGGATGAATCCCAAACAGCCTGTCGACTTCACTCCCCGACGCTCCTCTGCCTGCCCCACTGACTGAGATTTTAATAAATGATGACATGTGGTATGAATAAACCACAAGGCAGTGCTACTGCCAAAAGGCAGAGAGAGATACGAAGGTAACACACAAGAGGTGATAAATAAGTCAACAAAAGCTCATTTGTTCTGCTTGGCTCCTACAGTCATTCTGCTATTGCATTCAATAAGATGTGAGCAGAGTGTAGGTAGTTAATTTTTAATTTTTTTGTATTTCAAAGAATAAAGCTGCTAATCATCTCAAACGAGCAAAGTTCTTGTGTATTTACAAAAGCAATCAAGTTTTACAATTTTAACCCAGACTAAATGAAACTGTATAATTATGTGACCGTGCAATTTTTTTTTACTTAAGTAAAAAATGCATGATTTGGTTTTTCAGTTCTCATTTGTAATGAGTGAGTCCAAAACGTTTCTGCTTTTGAAGTACAAAATAAAAGTTGCAGAGACTCGTTAATGAGTCTTTTTAGCAAGGATTTTTCATGCATTTTTTACTATTTTATTGGATAAATATGCTGTCATCAGACATTTTTAAACTTAATAACATTTCTGTATGTCTTCTCAAAACTCCTCATTTAGTGTTTCAACAACTCAAGTGGGTCCTGACCCAAACTCTGAACCACTGGTTCAGAAAACACCTGGATTATCCATCCATCCATCATCCATCATCCATCATCCATCCATCATCCATCATCCGTCATCCATCATTCATCCATCATCCATCCATCCATCATCCATCATCCATCATCCATCATCCATCCATCATCCATCATCCATCCATCATCCATCATCCATCCATCATCCATCATCCATCCATCATCCATCATTCATCCATCCATCATCCATCATCCATCATCCATCATCCATCATCCATCATCCATCCATCCATCATCCATCATCCATCATCCATCATCCATCCATCCATCATCCATCATCCATCATCCATCATCCATCCATCCATCATCCATCATCCATCATCCATCCATCCATCATCCATCATCCATCATCCATCATCCATCATCCATCATCCATCCATCCATCATCCATCATCCATCATCCATCATCCATCCAT